TTTTAAAAACTAATACAAATGACAAAAACACAACAAAATTACTAAAGCTTTAACTAATAATAAAGTGAAAATATGAAAATAACAATGTTGGGGTAATGCATTACAAGGAATGCGAGTTACGTAATCAGATTACTTTTTTCAAGTAACGAGTACATTACTTTTAAATTCACAACAAAATATCTGAGTTAAATAGAACAAATATACTTTATGTGTTTAATCTCACTTAACGTATTTTCTGATGACTTTCGATGATCCAGTTTAACCACAATAAAAAGGAAAAATGACTTTATACATTTAAGTTTTTATTGCTGAAGTAAGTGTGTTGAACTTTCTTCTCCTGAGTCTTATTCTTCTGCGATCGTGAACCGTAACACAGCTGAAATGTTTGTTTGAGTGGCGCCCTCTACTGTACAGGAGTACATATGCATTTCCTTCAGCCTGAGGCTTATTCAGTTCACATTTTAACGTATCACATTCATTTCTATTAAAAACCCTTAAAGTCAAACCACGAACGCCATTCATACAGTTCAGCTCACTTCGCACGTCTTTCGTGGTTTGATTAGTCGAGACTGTTTTCCAAAGATGGCTCCTGTCTGTATACACGAAGTGGACTGTCTTTATAAAATATCTTCTTATTAAACGGTCTGTACACTTACAAAGTTCTCAATGCTTCGGTTTGCATGTAGGGACCCTCATTATGTTACTGTGTTCGTGTGGGGCTATTTTGAGCCTTGTTAGTGGTATAAACTAGTGATTTCTTTTTACTTATTAAATGCCCCCATTACTAGCGTTATACGCTAAACAGTTTTTAGAGATAAAAGTCTTTACATTCGATCATCATGAAAACAAATCTCAGAGAACGGTTGACTAGGTACCAATGTTTTATTAGACCAAAGGTTCATTTTGCGCCGGAGTTCTCCTTTAAATAACCAATTATAATTTAGTATTAATAACTTGATAACACTTAACTGCAATATTACAACTTTGGTAAAGAATCATTCAAAAATAGAAGAGATCAAATCAAGCTTAATTATTCCCATTAACACAATATGTATCCAAACAAATACAATGTTCAATATTCGAGAGATATTCAAACATGTTTTGATGATCATGAGTGATTGAATATTGTTAATGTAGAGATCATATATAGTGAATGTATACTTGTAGAAGTGTACAGGTCAATATTGGTAAGCTGGACATGGTTTTAGATATTTAAATCTAGTACAGGAGGATTTTGATTTGTGAAACTTTTTAAATCTCATAGAAACCCATTTAAATCCCCTACATATTCTGTGCCTGGGAAAGACAGGCATTCACATATACACAGACGAGCACATGAACACAGACAGATCCGTCTCTGAACAGAGGTGTCTTTCTCAGGCAGGACTGCCACCTCCCTAAAGCCATGTAGATGCAGTAAAAATAAATGGCCCCTGACGATGTGTTAATCCACTCTTACAAAGCGTCTCAGGTCTGAATTAAGTTGTCATTTTTTATTGCTACCCTGACACCTGTTTATAATAGGGGGCCTTGGTGACTTATGCCCATGTTATTACAGCCAGCGGTGGGAACAGAGAAAGAACTGATCTGAGATCAGAAAAGCACCGGTTGGGCCTAAAGAGAGCAGATTTCAGAACAGTGGCAAATGAAGCAGAAAAAAAGGAATTAAATCCAAATAAACTCAGCCACACTTTCTTCCAAACAAGCTATGCTAATATGTATGTTTTTATTTCTTCTGTTCATTATTCTGCTGGCTATAGCGGTAATTTACTGTCTGCACTTTAGATTTAGGTCACACTTTAGATTAGGGTCCCATTCTCACTATTAGCTAACTATTAACTACGGCTTTTGTCTCAAGTTAAACTCCTCTTATTAATAGTTAGTAAGGTAGATGTTAAGTTTAGGTATCGGGTGATTAAGGGATGTAGAATATAGTCATGCAGAATAAGGTATCAATATGTGCTTTAGAAGTACTAATAAACAGCAAAAATCCTACTAATATGTATGCTAATAACCAACTAGCTAATAGTGAGAATTGCACCCTAAACTAAAGTTTTACCAAAAGTTTTTTTTTTTTTTTTTCATCAGGTTAGTTTTCATACATCACCAAACCTTTGGTTACAAATGAGGACAATCTTTGAAGGATGAACAAAAATAGTTTGCTTTGAAGCGCTGGGAAAAGTTGTGTAAAGTACTTGAAAGTGGGACTGTCACGTCGAGGGAGTAACATTTGATGACGTATTGGTCTGCCATACCTTGGTTTTTGACAAATTGACACCATTGTATTATGCCCAGTACACATTGTATGATTTTGGTCTGTCCCAGACTAAACATGACCAATCGTGGTGATTTCTGTGGTCGTGGCTCCTAAACGCTGGTCCAGTCGTCGTTCAGTGAGAGAGGTTCAAAGACGGCCATTGTCACGGTCTTGACCAAAGAGATATCCTTCGACAGTGTCATCAATTTAGCATGATCATCTCACAGTGTGTTTGCTGATACAACCAACATCTACTGACTAGCCAATAAAAATTGCATCACGGTTTGTTCAATGCGACATGGCGCTAAAACTTGAAACTATTTACCTCAAGCTCCATTTGCAGAATTGTCATGCCAAGTTGTCCTCTTTTCCCAGCCATGACCATATTCTCCTCTTTCGCTTCCTCCTCTTTTTTCCAGCGCACATAAAAACCACAATTGCTAATCTCAAAAGTGTGTAGCAGTTGTGTGTAAACTGTAGCAGTTTACATTTTCCATCGTTAAAATGATTAACATTTTTGCATTGTAGCAGGACAATCAAATGACCACAGACATTTCCTGTGTGATTTAATTACATAATCCCAATAATAGCGTTCATCGCGAAAGGGACATCATTTTACGCACACATTCACAGAAGCTTAATTTTAAATGAAAATATGTCAGTGATTTAATGGACTTTAAAGATAAAGTCAGGCTGAAATTGAAATGATAAAGTCAGGCTGAAATTGAAATGATTATTTCCCAGACTAGGAAGGGAAGGGAACGTCAGCGTCATCAACTGCGATCGTAAAAGAGAAAGTTCAAAACTTATACTCCAAGTGTCAAGCAGTGATTGTTATGAATGAATGACGTGGCATTAGAGTCTTCCTCTGATAATGCTGGATTATATTTTCCCCAAATAAATAGAGGTTACACTTTATTTCAATGGTCCACTTTAGACATTCTACTAACTATAAGTAACTTTGCAACTACATGTCAACTAACTCTCATTAAAGTATTAGTAGACTTCTAGGTTAGGTTATGGTTAGGTGTTAGAGTTCGGGTTAGTAGAATAAGTTGACTTGCAGTTGCCAAGTTACTTAGTCTGTTGAGGAGCGTCAGAATAAAGAGTTAGCAGATATTAAGCAGAGAGTCTACTAATACTCTAATGAGAGTTGCAAATTTACTTATAGTTACTATAATGTCTAAAGTGGACTATCGAAATAAAGTGTTACCTAAGTAGAAAAAGACAACTTGAACGCATTTATAGGTGGTAGTAAGTAAGCACTTTTACTTTTCGATTTTTGTTCTTTCAGGAGTGTCCTTTTAAGTCTTCATTAATCCGGCGTTTTCGTTTAAAAACGCTCTCAGTCCACACTAGCGTTTTCAGGCGTTTTCCAACAGTCAGTGTGGATGAAAAACTTTTGGAAAGTGCCTGAAAACGCTAAATTCACCTTCCTGGGCATGCGTGAAACCACACAAAAGCTCAGTGAGATGATGCAGACGAAAAATAAATAATAAAGTTATCGCGCATTTCTTCTGACAGGTTAATTTTATGTAGCAAAATATCCGAGCATTCACTGAAGCGTCCAGGTCGCACTCACTCACCATTACATGTTTGGTCTAAAACGCTAAAACTGCTCTCATGTTTTACCGCAGGACAGCAGATGTGAGTAAATGCTCTCATGTTTGCAGGACTGTGATATGAAGAGTGTGCAAAGTAACATAATTTAGCAACAGTGTGAACGTGAATAGCACACAACAGCCACAATACCGGTATAAACATGAATATCTATTGGTACAATATGCGTCACATGACTAAACTTACATCATCGTTTTTAAATACATCTGTTTTGACAGTCCACATACTATTGAGCCAAAACAATCTCATTAATAATTCATGCAAAAAAATGATTCACACATGTGTAGACAATTTCACATGCATGAAACCTAATTCACGTACACAAAAAAAAAAAATCACGTGCGTGAAAAAAAATATATATATTCACAAAAAGAAATTCACATGCGTAAAATAAAATTGTTTATTCATAAAATACATTTCACAAATGCAAAACACAATTCGTAGATATACAACTGTGCACAAAAACCTTTGAATGTTTAAAATGTACGAGTTTATCCTTGAATGTGAATGTGCAAATCGTCATTCACGTGTGAATCGCCTTGGATGTGTGTGTGTGTGTGTGTGTTTTTGAGACTTTCCTGGCAGCGCTCTCCTCCTACACAGAGCAGACATACTCTTTAGCCAATCAGATTTAAGCTTATTAATCGACCAATCAGTATCACGTGAGGGCGGGCCTACCTGCATGTTACATCATCAGCTTTCGACTACAGTGAGTTCAAGGCTAAGCAGAGGTAAGTGCAGTTGATGGGTTCATTTCTGTGTTTACTGAAGCTAAAGAAGTTCGAGATCAGTAATATGCATGGAAAATTATGTATGACATTCAAGGAAGAATTGCAGGCATCTACACAACAAACATTTATATTGTTTGAAATTGACACAGGTTTAATAACAAATGAAACAATAATGAAAAGAAAAAAAAACAATTATTCAAAGCAGTTGCTTGGAAATAGTACTACATTTGAAGGATTTTTGTAGGCTATTTTAAAACTTTTTTACACTCTTGATTGTGTCATACTTAGACAAAATTTATATATTTTAGTCTTGCCAAGCTTTGATTATTCAATTTTTAATTTATGTTTTTAATTTATTTTGTATTAGGCTATATGGTTTTGTTTCTACACAGATTCAGGAAAGTTTATTTTATCTAAATACAAACCCTGAAACTTCACATAGTAAAAAGAAGGTGTCCACTGAAGGTGTTCCTTCTGTTCCCATCTGTGTAGACACGACGGTTCTCCCAGAGCTGAAGACTTATCCGGTCCCCTTTTTCCAGCAGAAGGCAGACAGCGTTGGACGCAGTGTCCTCGGTGTCTAGCCCGGGAGCGCTATCTGTTGCTCCGACCACATGATGGCCATTCTTTAGCAGTCTCACACCGGTTGGCATGGCGTGGTGATGGAAGAGCACAAAGTTGAAGTAATACACTCCTTTTACTGGTGCAGTGAAGATTCCTGTTGATAACAGTAGAAACTTGGGTTCTTAAAATAGTTTATAAATAACCTGATAAAATTTTGCAGCATCATGTTTAGAATTTCTTTGAGGAATATCATGATACCTGTATTTGTGTCGTAAGCATTTCCAATGTTAGTTAATGCATTTTCATACACAAGAGAGACTGCATCTGCATAAGGGCCAATGAATTTGTGGGTATTCTCTAAAGCTGACAGCGTGGCTGAAAATGCTACTTTCACCCTTTCTGAAAAAAAAAGAGGGGAGAAGAAAATGAACAGGGAAGCGAAAAGAAATAACCTTCAGATATCTTTTAATTTCGTTAATGTAATGCTATTTCTAGTCGGAACTTGTTTCAGGGCCCTAAACGTCAAAATAAATGCAAATAGACTTAATTGTGTATTATTTAGCCGGAACACTTGTCTTTTCCTCAAACTTTTTCAGCTTTGTAGTCAGTGCTGTATTGGTGACAGAAACATAAATGTTCAGTGCATACATGAACAGAAATATAGCCACATAAATATAGATTCACCTTCTTAACCTTTGACAACATAGTAGTTTAGAAAGATTGCATCACAGTATGAGCAATATGGTGTTATAAATATGCTAATTCTTGCATTTCATTTTATGCTGAGACGTTCGTGTCATGTATCTAGCGTCCGATCATGTTACCTTTGTTTTCTGTTCTGAGTCGCTCCATTTCAATCTCCATAGATTTCATTTTTGTTTCCATGGTCTTTATTTTCCCCATTTCAATCTCCATAGATTTCATTTTTGTTACCATGGACTTCATTTCATTAAGTTCTTCAAGGATGTTTATGTTTAACGACAAAACATCATCTGCTGATACAGCCCACACATTGAGTATTAAAACTGTTACAAAAATCAACATCATTGTGCTCTTGGTTACTAACAAAGCACTGAATCAACTGAATTATCATTCTCTTATAGTCTTAAAAACAACTTGCGTAATTGTTTAAATTGTCCAATAGACTTTGGACTCCAAAAACATCCCTCTTTACAACTCTAACCTTTGTTCATAGCAACACATTATGCAATAGCTGCACATAATTTAATAAGTATTACATTATTATTGTAATGAAATGTTCATATAATAATTTTCTCAAAATGAAATAAAATATTATTATTTATAAATATAAATAAAACATTTTACATTATGAGAAAATGATTACCTTATAAACTCACCAAAAACATTGTAATTGTCACTATTTGAGTCTGTTCATGTCTGTGTTTCTAGGTTGGTTATCAGTTTGTTTAGTTCAGTTCTCTCACTTTCCCAGCCTGTTTGTGTCGTGGCCAATTCGTGGTTCAATCTCAATTTTCAAAGTCTGGTTGAGTTCTCAGAAGAAATCTTTCAGAGTCGAGGTTTCAGGTCTCAGAAGAATATAACTTTATTGAGCAGTTCAACAAAGTGAGAAGCCAGCTGGACATTCTGATCTTACAATGGTCAGTACTTGGTTCTTATACATTTTCTTATCTTTACCTGTCCAATTAGTGCCTGTTCTGTTATCTTTTCCCCTTTGCTCCTCCCCACTATTTCGCCACAATTGTTGTTCCAGACTCGCTGTCTCGGTTCTAACTGTGGCCAACCTTTGGTACATATATTTTTTAAAAAAATGATTACATACACAGTTTTAAAAGACCTTTGCACCTTTGCTATTGTTTCTCTACTGTTGGTTTCCTGTTTTTGTTTTCCATACATGTAGACATACACTTGTTTTTCCATACATGGCGACATACAGGGTGTCTAGGTGCTTTCCTGTTTTCTAGTCTTCTCTTACATCATCTTTCAGGCCTACTTTCATTTTGTGATACATGTATAGGGACTGCAGAATTCTCCAACACAACCCCCCTTTGGGACTACCTCTAGTCCCACACTCAACTTGTTTCCCAGAATGCATCTTCATGAATCAGTCTTCCTCCTTTTATTCTACAACATGGTCAATAGAGACCATCCACCTTTATCAATCAGACTTTACTCACAAAGGTGCACTCTGGAGGAAGAGAAGGACCAAACATCTCCGCCCCCAATTGACTAGGATGGAGTAAAAGATCCCACCTTCCTTTACATCATATTTTTTAAGGGGATGTATTTCCCTTCAAAACCACTCAATGCATCAAATTAATACATTACATGCTTCTTTGAATTCTTGACTCTGTCCATCGGTGCCAGAGGAACTGCGCAGGCGCTTCCGGTGGCCTGGAGTGCTATCTGGGTTGCTCCATCGTTGCCAGAGGTGCCCAGGCTTCGCCTAGAGCGCTATCTGGTGTTGGAGCAGACAGCGGGTTTTTAAACCACCAGTTGAGTCAGCTCTTGTTTCTTCAACAGTCGATGACCGCGCTTGCAAAATAATTCCCCTTTTGGACTTAAAACTATATACATGCTCCAATGGCCTTATACATGTAAGTTCCAAACTTCTTAGACTTGTTATAGAAATGTATTCAAAGGATAGATAATAAAAAGTAAAAATAATTAATAGTAATAAAATCTTTCTTATCTTTTTCCATTAGTTCTTGTTGCATTACCTCGTACCACGGGCAATGACCTGCTTCAAACCTTCTATCGTCCCCTCTCATTCACATGTTTTAAAAATTGTAACAGTTAATATGGTTACATGTAGATATATGATTATATAGATAAAAACCATGCAAAAGATTATATCATTCATATAGTCAGAAGATCATTATATCGGCAACTTATTTTAAAAGAAAAGATACACAAATGATTGAAAGGATTACATATATAAGAATGTTATATATGAGTAAATATCTTCAGGAAATAAGGGCCCTCATATAAACCAAAGGAAAGTAGAAAAACCCCTCTAACTAACTTCCTACTCTACCCATGTTCTAATTGTTCTAACTACTTTTATCCCCCAAATCAAAATACACAGTGGGGCTATCTCCCTATCTGATCAAAAACAGAGTAAAAAGATTTTCAAAATCAAAAGTAATGAGGTACCCTTATTCCTTGTTTCTTTGCCCACTCCCTTATAGGAATTCTTCCAACTCGTCCAAGCCTGGGCCAGCTGAATATACCCCCGTGGTGGTGCACCCAATGTCAATGCCTGTTGGCCTCACTGACACATTGATCATTTGTTTTGCGGCTGCACTAGCCAGCATGGATCTAAGAAAAGGCACAATACAGCAGAACAGCACAAAAACAACGCCAAGAGTTACTGCTATTATTATTCCCACCTTAATGAGCCACTCCCTCCATGATCCAAATATTGCATCAAGCCAATATCCAAAACTTCTGTCCCTCCCTGCATTTGTGGCAACTTCATTTCTCAACGCCTTTATCTTCTTCATGGCTTTAGTAAACGATCCATCTGGGGCTGTATTATTTGGGATGAAAGTACAACAGTCAGATCCAAACATTACACAAACTCCTCCTTTCTCCGCTAAAAGCCAATTCAATGCCTGTCTGTTCTGCCAAGTCATTTTGCTCGTGTACTTCAATTGTTGGCCTAGTGCCTCAAGTGCCTGATCAGTATGATTAATGAACCTTTGCTGATTGTAATATATGTAATTTATCCACTCAGTGTTCTTATTTACTGGTATCCATACAAATATCGATTCCAAACCTGACAGCACCTCACTTCTAGCTTTGAACTCATGTGGTATTCCTCGCGGTTGTCCAATGGAATCAAGATAAACGGCAGGATCCGTTGTGTATGCTCTCTTTACTCTGTAATTATGACTCTTTGTCATTCCTATCGTCTCTTGCTCATCAGGATCCCAACTCACTATTCCAGTTTCCTGGGCTAGTCTGACTCTTACACATAGGCCTTTCCAGTCTACCAAGGTTGCTCTTAACTGCCTCCCTCCACACAACCAATAATAGTCCGCAATTGCTTCTGTTTGGTTCATTAATGGTCCTATCAAGGGGAAACTTAAGGTAGCGCCTTCACAATCGTCCTGGATTTGAGTTACAGTCATATTGTTGTTTATGGTAGCCGTGGCATAGATTGAACTAGTAGTCTTAATCACATTGGGGTCATTGTAAGTTTCAAAATCTAGATGCCAAATTATGGCGCATTTTCCCTTAAAGGTTCCTACATTGTTATATCCTTTGGTTACTTTGAAGCACTCATACTCAAGTGACCTATCCAAAATGTAATTTTCTGGAATTTCTCTTTTATTCTCAGCTACCCTCACATCTAATTTTTGACACTCGCTTCCCCACCCGCTCTGATTGAAAAAACTCTTGTAATAGTCATTCCCTAGCATAGCCAAACAATCTGCAGGGCAGTAAGGCATTATTCGTCCCATCTTATCGCATTGTTTTGAATGAAATTTAGCACAGTGCATGTAGTCATATTTGTTTGGAACCAATCTCAATTTTTTCAAAGGCGACGGTGAACATAACAAACAGGATCGTTCAGTTGTCTGTTTTACTGTGTACTGCGCCCATTTGTACCACTCATTGTGATATGCTACATCTAGTAACGCTTCCTCTTTTATCTCTAACTCAAAATAATCTTCCTCTAGGGCTTTAATCTCCTGCATAGCTCGTGTTCTGCTCAATGCAGCTTTCTCTGGTGATTGTTTGGCCTTCTTTGTGGATCTCTTTATGTGTTTGCGTGTGTTGTTACCTTCTGTTGGCTCAGTCAGATTAAGGTGACCCATCCCATTCTGGGATGTCAGGTAGGTCAAGTTCTGAGAAGTTAATGTCTGGGAGATCAATATCTTGGAGGTCAAGAGTGACGAATTCTTCTGGGGGGTATGGTCCTCCATGGGAGGGACCTTCTCCAGGGGATTGGTGTCCTGAAGACCTTGAGCCTGAGGGAGCTGCTGCAAGAGTTGTATCATTGCCAGGATCAGGATCAGGAGCTCTCTCATCCTCAGGCTCCGTGTTCTCTGGATGTTGTAGATCTGAGTGCCCCTGCATTTCATCTCCTGGCCCAGTATGCTCAGTTTCCCTAGAATGAGGTTCAGCAGCATTGTTATCATCTTCTGCTTCAGTTTCTTGGCTCGTTTGGGCATCCTGTGCTACTTCTTCTAACTGTTCTCCTACTCTATCTGTGTCCTCCTCCTGTCTTCTATGTCTCCGTCTTGGGACTCTGGTACAATGATTCAAATGATACCATGTGGTACTGCCCTCTACCTGCACGGCTGTGGGGGTTGCCCTGACTACAGTATATGGACCTTCTCGTCTTGGTTCATTCCACCTTCTCCTAAAGACTCTCAGATACACCTGGTCTCCAGGAACTACTGGACATGGTGTTTCTTCTTCCTCTTCTCTGGGCCCCCTGTTCTGTTCCTGTGAATGAATAGCTTCATGTATAGCAGTTAGTTGTTTCATGTACGCCCTCAGTTCCATCTGTAGCTGTTCTAAGGGTGGTCCTTCGTATGGACCTCTCAAGTATGGTACTGGCATTGGTCTCCCTGTCAACATTTCATGTGGGGACAAGCTTGTGATTCTGTTTGTCTGCATACGGTAACTCATGAGAGCTAGGGGCAAAGCATCTACCCAGTTAAGCTTGGTATCTGCACAGATTTTGTTAATTTTTGCCTTAATAGTCCCGTTAACGCGTTCTACGAGACCCTGAGATTGAGGATGGTAGACGCATCCGAGCCTCTGCTTCATCCTTAACTGTTGTATTACTGCCTTGACTGTTCTTTGAATAAAAGCTGATCCATTGTCTGAGCTAATTTGTGAGGGTATCCCAAATCTTGGTATTACTTCCCTGGTCAGAAACTTGATCACTGTCTGTGCCCCTTGATCTGCTGATGGTTCTGCTTCCACCCACCTACTGAACCTGTCTATAATTACCAACATGTACCTTTTTCCTCTTACCGATTTGATCATGTCTACATAATCCATTACCAAGTGCTTAAATGGTCCTTCTGGAACAGGGATGGTACCTAATGGGGTTGCTGTACCTTTCCTGATGTTATTTTGCGCACAAACTTCACATCCATTCAG